CGTATTATCTGCCCCAATCTTGAATACCTCGATACTCTATTACTAACTGCTAATCTTACACTGGATTCTAAGTGGTCGTCTGTGAAACGGGAACATGTTGTCTTAATTATATTCTTCGTTGAAAATGTAGATTCTCACAGGTAGGTAGAGCGAAAGAACGATGCTAAATGAATTGCAGCTTTTTTCTAAAATTGGGATACTTTACTTCGACCAATAGATTCCAAAAGTTATTCTTCACAAATTACGTCATTTTGAAAGAGAAAAGCTTCGTTTTCCTCGAGAGATAAAGAGAACATGTAACATACATATATTTAGTTATATTTTTCACATCAACATTGCCAAATGAATAACCCATGAATGCAACTTTTGTGGGATTCTAGTCTAGTAAATTCTTGAAAAAGTCTCTCAAATTTGGTTTGGAGTTTTATTCACGGGTGTTTCCATTATCTTGGTAACCACCTGTGTTTCTTTTAATATGCGCGTCTAAGACCTTATGTGAAAGCGGTCGCCCCAAAATGTCTTGGTGGTCCACCGGTCGATCGCGCGATCGACTTAATGCTCACCCAGGACTTAAAGTACGCACTACAGTGATTTTACAAAAACGTTTAAGAAGAATCGGTACCCTTTGAACAATTTTTTTTATTTATGTATTTAAAAATTGTATTTTATCATTTCATGTAATGTTTCTATTCAATAAAATGCTACCAGATGAAATTTTGCACATATTATTCACACAATTTTAAAAAATTTAATTTATTTAAAAAAATTTGATAAATTTCAAAACTACTTCTTTTACAATTATTTTTTTTTTACCTGAAATGTTTTAGTAATATTCTTAAGGATGTTTAAAACAACCTTAGCGATCGATTTTGCATTAATTTAATTGGTTTCGGAGAAAAAAATAAAATATTGAAATGCATACAAAAATTTAATTAAAAAGACAATATATTCTACATTTTAATTTTTTTTTAAAGTAATTAAGTTTATAGCAAAATGGATCCATAATTTTGTTACATGCATTGAATATAGAATACACGAAAAAGTGTAAATAATTGGGGTAGGAGTAGCATTTTGAACTCACTAATGTATCAAAAATCACAAAGTGAGAAAAACCGCTTTGATGTTTGTAATTCTGAAAAAATAATTATAATGCGCTTAAATAAACTTAAAATACCTCTTTAGGACATAAGCTATATATTTTATTTAAAATAATTTTTATTTTCATGTTATTTGCGCCAATACATTTTTATAAATGATAAATTTTCAGAGAGTATTAATTGCACAAGAAAATTCAAGGAAAAGGTTAAAAAAAAATTCTGTCAAGACATAAATTTTAGTTTTTTTTCCCCACATAATATTGAAACGTTATATTTCTGTATAAAAAAATATGAGGAATAAGAAATAAAATTATGTAATTTTAATATAAAATGCCTTAGTTCAAATATTTTGGGTGTTCACATTTCACAAAGAAAAAAAATATATTATTGTAATGCTTCAGAAATATCCTGCTTTATACGTATTTTACCTTCCTTTTTTTATAGTTATTACTCTTTTTAAAATTCATTTTTTATCAAAAAGCTTTTTTCTGCTTTTTTTATCTAAAAAGGAGGCTGTTCGAATTGTCTGATTCGTTTGTTCACATTTTTCAATTGAAATTTTTCCTAATTTCTAATTTTTCAACATACACAAATGATATAACAATCGAAATATAAAATGCAAAGAATACGAATAAATAAAAATTGAAAACAAACGATACCTTGGTCATTTTTGGGGTACATGATTATATTTTCATATTTTGTATTACTTGAATTATAATATATTTATAAAGTTGTAAGGAAAGTAATGAAATAAGGAAAGTATTGAAATATATAACAATTTTAAAGCAATTTTTGACAAAAAAGAAGAAAAAAATTATAGATTTTCAGATTCTTCTTCTTTTTTGTAAAATGCTTCTTCAAAAATAGCATTTTGCATATAGATAGTTAAAAGGTTTTTCTACAGAGCCCGAACAAGGGTTTTTAAAAAATTCCTATTATTTTCAGATGTACTATCAATTGAATTAATAGTCGGTGTCTTCTGTAAAATAGTTTTATAATTATATGTACCAAAATATGAATAAATCCACTTCTAAATTATATATTTCAAAACTCTTAATTCAAACACTGCAGAAAGCTCTGTTCAAACTCTGCAGAGTTACTAATTATCAAAAACATTCTCCATTTCTCATTCAAAATCATAAACATTCAAAATCTCCATTCGAAGCGTAGTTGGATACCATAAATCGATAATTGATTATTTGTAATCCAAAAATATTTTATGTAAAAATGCACCTATATTTTATCTTAAACATTATACAATGTTAATTTTTAAAAAAAATCTTATGCACGAATAGCACTTACGGAACCAATCTCCTACAAACATACTACAGTTTCAAACATCGAATGATGAATTTATACTTGACGCTTTTATATGTTATGAATGTATGCTGAATACATAAGTAAGAAGTGTATAATGTAATGAGGAATCGATTCAACCAAAAATAATTCATGTATAACTTCGAACAATATGGAAATAATCATAAAAAAGAAATTCTCTTGAATAAGTATTAAACTAATTCTTCAAAGCATCATTTAAAAAATGAGTTTTTGCTGATACAAAGAGAGTAGAAGTTTGAAAGATCTTGTTTTAATCAAAATTATGAGTATTTATCTAGATTATAAATAGCACAGCTTAAAGAATAAGTAATATTTCCAAAATAAGGTTATCATTTACTAATAATATGGCTTTTTGGTTTTAAATTGGATGCTATAAATAAACACTTATATATTAGATAATTATTAGATGTTTCAAGAAGATAAATGTATAAACTGATTTAAAAAAATGTTTCCAGAAATATAAAATAGTTTGCTAACACAAAACGCAAGATATTTATTTTTCCTATTTATAATTAGTTATTAGTTAAAAATTTGTATACTTAGAACACAAGCTCAACATATAAAAATTAATTTTAATTAAAACTTGTGGTAACGGTAAATTATTTAACAATTTGCTTAAAATTATATAAGGTAATGAAAAATTAATTTAATCACATTATATCAAAATTAGTTCTTATTTGTGAGTGACCACATTAAAATGGCAGTATTTCTTCGTAAGAGTAATTACAAAACTTAAAAAAATGTCAAGTTAAAAATTTTAAAAGAGAGTGAATTATTTAAAACGAAAAATATTAATAGTAGAGAACGTCAATAACTTAACGACGTAATGTACTATATATTTTAAAGAGTATGGTCTAATATAAAAATTTAGAAGAAGTCTCAAAAGATCAAAATCTCTTTATCTTCAAAGCTCAAGAGGTAAAAATAACTTTAAAGGAATACATATGTGGGAACTCATGGACATTGTAATGTCATTTTAAGTGGAAGTGATAGTATATAATTTAACAGATAGATTTTAGTTAAAATAGCTAAGGATAAAGATATCAGACTTTGATTTGATTTACGTCGCAGTATGGAGCAAAACATAGGCTATTGTTGAAAGACTTTATAATTTTGAACCCCAGTCCACTGATGACGACGACACTTGAGCTGGCATCCTCCTGTCATAGCTTTCTCACCACACCAACGGGAGGACTTTCAGCCTCGACATATTCAACATGCATCGACCCTTTTTGCAAAATGGGTCTTCAGTGGAACAAGGCTCAACCCCATGGCATACCCGGCACGAGTCAACGACCTTGACAACTAGGCCACCGTAACCTCTGGACGTGAGCTCATGAAACTCATGAGCCACAGACCACGAGTTCATGAGCTTTATCATTTGGCTATCACGTCCAGATTAGTCTCTCTGAGTAAAATTTATGATAATTTTGCAGTGAAGTAGGAAATACAGAAATAAATCATAATAGATACACCAAAAATTTTTAAAAAACGTAAGTAAAAGGCATAAGAATGTTACAGAAAATACTTAAATATTAATCAATGTAAAGCTAAAATTATGAAAAAGACCATAATGCAAATTTTATTTCCAAATATAATAAAAAAAATAGAGCAGAAAAGAATCATATTGACTGGAATTGATTGAATATATAGTCTTTTCGATTCACTGGATCAATGCATGTGGATTTTACATCCCCAAAGAGCATTGCTTCTACTTCTACCAAACGCATTTAAAATCTTGATGCATAGAAAAGGATACGACTTCAAAAAGCGAAAGAAATTTATTTCTGGAAAGAAAATCGGTAAAAGCTGAGTGTCATTCTTCCTTCTGACAGTAACGCGTGAAAGTGTCTTTATTGATACATATCCGACTAACATTCGAAATTTTTTTTAAGGCAAACAAAAGAAACGCAAAATCGATAGTGAAGATGCAGCCCAACACTTTCCTTCTCCTATCAGCTAGTAACAACTAGTGACAACACTAGAAGAAGGAATAAAAGAAAGCTTGATAAGAGTCGAGACAAACCGAATAAAGTAGAGACAGAAATTAAACTGCTTATTCAAGAAGACGCCAAAGGCCCAGAAAGTAAAGTGATACTGATAGGTATTGTGGAAGTTTTCCAGTTGCATTTGTGTTAAATACCTAATTCTTATCTTACTTTGTAGTGAGGTTTAAAAGTCTTTACGGAGATTCTGTATCATGATGTTTTTTCTTCTTCTTTTTTATATATTTTTTAAAGATTTCTTAGATAAAAGAACTTTTCTTTCTTTAATGTACAATCTATATATTTAGTGATAAGTGAAATTTTTAGCAATGTTAAGGTAAAGACTTTTAACTCATCTTTGCATGTTTTTTTCAATTTCTACTATGAGTTACCTCTCTTCTTATACTTTCTATTCATACCTTCAAGTTCAAATACATTTTTTAAACTTTTAGTGAATGACACTAGATGTTAATACAGTTTTTCAAATATTAATTTATTAATTACATTAAAATAGGAATCAACAGTAACAAACAAAAATAATAGTCAAACAGCATATATTGAAAGGAAAACCGTTCGTTGTGTCCCTGTAGTACATTGGATAGCACGTTGGACCTCTAATCCAAAGGTCGTGGATTCGAATCCCGCCTGGGATGGCCTAATTTCTGAGAATGTGACTTTTTTTTTTACTAAACTATTTTATTAGAAAAACTAAAATTAATTAGTGAATAAATAGTAACAAGCAAAAAATAATCCAACACCATATATATAAAAAGGGGGGAAATTGCAAGGGAAATCGTTTTTTTATTATGTCACTTAATATTGTGATTCTGTCATATGTATATATTTATATTAATTGTAATTATTAATAAAAAGTAACTAAAATAAAAAAAAAATTTGTTGACCTAAGTAGGAATTGACTTATTATATATATATATATATATATATAATAAGTATATATATATAAATATATATTGCTTGTTTTTCTTTTGTGTGTGTGTTTTAAGGTATCCAACTACCCTAAAATTGCGAATTTTTTCAAAAATTGTCAAAAAAATTTTTATGATTTTATTTTATAGGTTATCTTAATAGCTTTATAAAAATACCAATTTTATTATTTTCTTTTAGCTAGAACAAACACTACTTTTTGCAAAAGCAGATGACACTATAAGCAAGATGGCATACTTAAAAATGTATTTCACTGGAAATGTGCTTTTTTCAAAATGCTCAAACAGGGACAGCTATTGATTAAAATGTTTTGAGAATAATTAACTGAAATTTTTTGCGTATATTCTGTATAATAGTCGAAGTGTTTTAATTTTCAGATTTATCTAACACTTTTTTATTACAAAATTTACAGCCCCTTTTGTGAATATAATCATTGTTTTTTTAAGTAATTTCATACAATAATAAGATAAAGTCCTATAGTTTTTGTAAAAGTTATAATATCGCTTATCTTGAAGGTCATTTAAGAAATTAATAACAAAGAAACACACTGAATCACAAATCGAAAATTTTTTCATAAACTTTTTGTACAAAATAGGTCCCGTTTACGTAATTTTTTGTAAATTTTGCCAATTTTTTCCCATTTTAGAAATAATAATTTCTTTTTCTCTTCTTAATTTTAGCATATTTTTATAAAATGTACTAAATAATTGTAAAACCCACAAAAAATCCCCATATCTCCATTTTTTAAATGAAAAAGTCATCTCAAGTAGTCGGATACCTTAAATAAATAAAGGTGATATAGTTCATACTCTAGATTAAATGAAAAGTGTTTTTAAAAAATCTTAGTATAAATATGAAATAGAAAATAATTTAAAAGCAGTATGGTGAAAATATTCATTCTCATGCAAACTTACATGTTAAGCTCAGTACAAATTAAATAAAAAAATATTTTATCTTTGTGTCATTTATACTTCTGATGATAATTAAAAAATTATTATTATTATTATTCTAATTTAATCTGCCTCGCTGTACAAATTGTAAGAATTTTAGTCATCAAGGACATTTTCTAAAAGCCCACCTTCTTCAAACTAGACCAAGTAATCTTCAATGTCCTTCTGTTCTAAATTTCTCTACAAAAATAGCGTAAAATAAGCATATAGTAAGACACCTTCTCATAAAACATTATAAGCGAACCAACTGCATATTGATGTAAATTTCTATCATTTGGTTTTGGGGAGATTATTTGAGGTATTCAATATAAATTGCACATAAAATAACAAAAACAAAAAACTACCTTTTCCTACTCATTATCCCTTTTATTGGCAAAAAATCTCATTATTTATAAAAAAATACTCAAGAAATCGCCTGTTTCTTTCAACCTAAACATCCAGTGGAATGACAATTTCAAACTCGCTATAATGATTGTGACATAGCGCTATGTTCCTTATTACGTAATAATCGTGAAAAATTTTCTAGCTACAACCAATTTACAATACACCTCTTTTGAATACAAATTTTTGTTCACTAAATGCTTGAGGAAAATTCCCAACATTACTCAAAGAAGGATTAATATAGAGAGAGAGAGAAAGAAAGAGAAGAAAATTTTTTTTTATAGTTATATAATTATGTGACTAGCATTTTACACTACAATTCGCTACATATTCTCCTTCTATTTCTTCACTTTATACAAACGAAGATGAATGCAAATACCATTATTTTTTCAATCGTGATTCTATGAAACTGAACATAAATTGTAAAATATACACATAATATTTATTATTTCTTAAATGCTAATTTGTTTTACAACCTTTAGACGAAAAGTTTCTAACTTTTAATGAAACATTTATCAAACGAAAGTTGAGACATTTATGCAAAACAAACTGTGCGATATTTATACGGGTACAAATACGGCTTGTATTCAATTCTCTCAGAATGCAAATTATAGAAATAATTTTAAGCAACAGTAATATTAAAACAATGCGTCATCAAAATCACTTTTAAATTCTTATTTTTACTATAAATTTCGTGTTCAAGTTCCAGATTCACTGCATTCGTTCTTTTAAAAAAAGTTATTTATGTGTAATTTTTAAAATTATTTCACAATTTCATGAGATCAATTGATTAATAATTAAACGAAAAAGAACTTGAAGATTTAACTTACTTATTTCCTGATTTCATTTTATCTTTTGAAACTGTTTGAATAAGATTTCTATTTATGATTTCGTGATAAATGGTATAAAAGAATAAATTTATAAACAGAGTGATTCACTACCAGATCGACAAGTTGAAGGTTGTGTAGGGGGGTACACAGACGATTCAAAATCACATAGGAATGCACAGTGTCAAATGCCATAGTTACAAGCTATGGAACATAAAAGCAGAAAAGAAAAGATACATCAACACATTATCAGCATAATTCCTATGTGTGGGCTTTGGAGAACCCATATCGTAAGCAACCACGTACAGCTCAACAACGTTTCTCGATCAATGTTAGGGCCGGCTTTCTTGGAGACTACATCATTGGACTGCACCTTCTGCCCAAACCTTTTGATGGTAGGGCATATATGATCTTCTTACAACATGCCCGGTTCGAAGTTCAGCACATTTTCCTTCGTCGTTGTGTCGCTCCATTTTGTACCAGCATATCGGGACTTCTTCACATTGCGGAACTCACATCCACGAAAAAAACTTCAACATAGCTTTTGGACAGCAGCGGTGTATAGGCCGTAGTGGCCCGGCTAATTGTCCGGCCAGATCACCGGACCTATCATGCATGGACCTCTTCTGGGGTCACATGAAGAGTTTGGTGTACGAGATGCCTTTTCCTTCAGTTGAAACTTTCAACAATCAAATATCTGCAGAAGCTGGGAGGATACGTGACATGACAGGAATCTTTCAGAATGTAAGGAATTCCATGCAGTGCCACTGTCAGACCTACCAGACGACTTCGTATCGTAATTTCGAACACCTGTTGTAGTACAAGCTTTTAATAAAATGTTTCTTGTCCCATAAATGTGTTGCTGTTTCTGCTCTTTTTCTCTGCTTCTTTGCACCATAGCTCGTAACTACGACCATTGCGACCCTGCATTCTTGTGTAATTCCGAGTCGTATCTGCACCCTCTACACCTCCTGCAAAATTGTTGATCTGGTAGCGAATCATCCTGTATATACATATATATAATGACATGGTATTCTAATAATGACATATTTCTCGTACTTCCTCTTTTCCCTTTTTCCTATAGCCAAGTATTATAGGTAAATAACAGGTAAAGGTAAACAGGCCATAAAACATTGTTTGAACCTGTGTTCTTGGTTTCTAAGGCCATGAATTTGCTATTATATTATTGTGGCTAGTATTTCCTTTACTATTCTGTCTATTTAGGATTATAACACTATATTTATATATATACGTTATTATTATTGTGGATTATAAGTATACCGTTTTTAAAAAGTAATTCCTCCCCCCCAAAAAAAGTGTATCAAATTAATTGCTAAAAAGTAGAATTTTAATAAATCAAGGCTTGCGTTTTTGAAAAATTTATATAAACAAAGTTTAAAAACTAAAATTTGATTATTAAGTTGTTTGATGAGACACAAAAAAACTACAGCATACAAAGTTCTCCAATCTAGAAAATTTACTCCTTAAACTCTAAATTTGCTTATTTTTTTTTTTAAAAAATAACCCAAGAAATTAAACTATAAGACAATATTTTCATCAACATATGATAAATAAGTAAATTGATTAGGTTCGTGATCTTATGATAGTGTTTTAAGAAGTAAGAAAATGACGTTTTATCAGCAGATTAAATCTGCATGTTTAGTAGAATTTTCTATAACATAATTAATTATTGTACGTTTAGTTTATCGAATTTTTAAATAACACACAGAATGGGCACACACACTACGAAGTAAGACAATTTAAAAGGAAATAAGACGACTTTTTTAAACGATATACTGCTTTATTTATTCTTATTATCTTAGCCAAATGTTTATAATTAGCTCAGGCGTATTCTAATTACAATTTAATTGCCTTCGATTTGTTTTTCTTTTAAGTTCTGAAATAAATTAACGTTATACGATGATTATTTATACCTCTTTATAAGAAATGTTTTTCGGTGATGCTATAATAAATTTATTACGTACTACCGTTACAATGCCAACGTTCAAGATAACTCACCAAGTTGGCAACCTCAATTTCTCAAATGTAAATGTTGTTGTTGTTGATCGATAGTAACATCAGATCAAGGTGTCCATGAAATTCATCGCGGCTAAGGGCCAGAATTTTACGCCTGTCGTCAGCCTTTGCTTTTCCCATGCAGGTTTTGCTTGGTTCCACCCCAATTTTGAGGAAGAACACCCTGGGAGTTGTCAGGGGCCTCCCACCTCTCTTCATATGTAGTGTGCAATGAATTAGCAACTATGTGATTTGTTTCATATAATGTCACCAATTCGGTTGCGATAGTACATTTTTGCAAGTTCCGACAGAAAAAGTAGCAACGATTGCCTGGACTGGAATCGTTGCGAGAAAAGTAAGCCGTTGTCTCATACAAAGACTTATTAACAATCAATGGAATTAAATACTCAACATTACAGGAAGTTGCAAGACCTGTAGGTTTCTCAAAATCCGAGGACATTATCAATTAATTGTTGAACGATACAGCTTCAGTGAAGAATTAAACTAAACAGGAGCGTCAAGTAGGAATTTTCC